GTTGCTGTTGCGACTGCAGTTCACAACAACGCACAAATAATGCCGAGACGAGAGAGAGAGAGAGAGAGAGAGTGTGTGTGTGTGTGTGTGTGTGTGTGTCTGCATTCATGTGTGTCGTTGCGTTGGCACCTCATCACCTGCACCTGCCCACCATACACGCCCCCCCCCCGCTGCAGGTACGGATCGCAACATCCGGTTGTGGAACTCTGAGACATTCAACTGTGTTGCGGACTACAACGCGCACCGCAGCGGGCCCCACGGCGCCGTGCTCGATAGCTGCTTCAACCGCGCCGGGTCGCAGTTTGTTACGTGAGTCGTCGCGATGGTGGTGATGATGGTGATGCTCTTGTTGTTAGTCTTGTTGTTGTTCTTGTTGTTTTTGTTGTTCCTGTTGTTCTTGTTCTTGTTCTTGTTGTTTTTGTTCTTGGCATTGGTCCCTGGCTCTGTCTTCACTCTTTTGTCGACACCCCACCCCCCATCCCCTTGCCCTTGGCGTTGTCCTGCTGCTGCTCTCTGTCTGTCTGTCTATCTGTCTGTCTGTCTGCAACACGTGACTCACCTTCAATCATCCTTGCTTCCACTTGTCGCTGCACCAATACCACGATGTCATCCCCCCCCCCTCAACACACACACACACACATCCACAGCGTTGGCGCCGAGGGCACTGCGCGTGTGTACCAGTAGTGCACGCGCTGTTTCTCGCTCTCTCTCTCTCTCCCATCATGTTCACATGTCATTGGTTCGTGGTCGCACTTGACTGCTGTCCCCACCTCTCTCGTTCTTCTTTGCTGCCTACCTGCGACCTGCGCATGCAACCCCATAATGTCTTTGGTTTCTTGTCCCTGCTTGGTTGTCCTGTCTCCATTTGTTAATCGTTTTGTTGTGTTGCTTGTTATCACAGCACATGCATGTGTTCGTCTGCTTTGTGCCGTGGCTGGTGTTGAAGGTGCCCTGGCCCTGTGCCCATGGTGCTGCAGGTGATAATGGTGGTGTTTAGGTGATCTGCTGTGTTTTGCTTGTCCATTGGTTGCGGCTTTCTGCCTGCAAGTGACCATGCATGCATGGTCACACCAGCTGCGCTTTGCCCACCCCCGTCTGGTTTCCTCATCGTGTCTTGTCTGTGTCAACCATCACATGAACTGTCAACACGTGCTCGGCACGGTGGAAACTTAGTTTCTTTGGGGTGGTCAGTGACACTTTATTTTGCTGATCGGAGAGGAAAATATGCAGAAGAAAGAACACCACACCGACCAGCACACGCGCACACGTGGTTGTGCACACTCACTTTTCTCGCATACACACACAAACACACAGACCTAACAACGCACGTCAACTCACGCCCAGTCCCATGCTTGAATCACTTGCGCGCTGGCTTTGATGCCACTGAAATATCCTTCAACAACTGGGACACCCTCGCCTGCAACAGGCAGCATGCATCACGGGTGAGCAACGAGTGTCAGGAGTGGCTGTACCTGCACCGACTGTGGTGGTCACTTGACGTAAATTGATACACAGGCCACACGACACGCGACGCAACGCAACACAACGCAACGCAAGTCGGACCTGTCTGCGTTGTGCGTCACGCTTTCGCTTGAGCTGTGCCGCCGTCATGGGTGCAGGCGCCTGGTCACCATCTACAGTGGCATGGTTGTGGGTAGGTTGTGGTAGGTTGTGGTTGGTTGTGGTAGGTTGTGGTTGGTTGTGGTTGGTTGTGATTGGTTGTGGTTGGTTGTGGTTGGTTGTGGTTGGTTGTGGTTGATTGTGGTTGGTTGCAATCATACGGAGTCGTGTATGAGCACATGAGGTGTTGAAGAAGCACAACTTCAAGCACATGCACGCACACGCGCACACGCTAACCTGCGTAGCTCCAGTCTGGCAGATCTGTGAGAGGGCCAAACTCGTTGCCGCTACGACCCTTGCCGCGTCTGTACGCAAAAAGGCAAACAAAGATAACAATAACATGAAGCATTGTATGAGTGTACGTAGTGGTCACATGGCTTTCAGCTTTAAACTTGTCGCAGAAGGCGTCTTACACCCTGTCCTCTCCCCTTGTGCTCTCCACTTCTCCTCCACCCCCTCCCCGCCCACACACACACACACACACACACACACACACACACACACACACACACACACACACACACACACACACACACACACACACGCACACATCACATCACACACACACATAGCAGCAGCAACACAATGAACATCGAAAGCTCCACTCCAATGACAAGCACCCCTTACTTGAGGCGCGACTTCTCGCCGGCAGCGCAGGGGCTCGCGGTGTGCAGGCTGGCCCGTGTCACTGGCCGAACAACAGCAGCGGAAGAAGCAGCGACAGCGCGTTGCCACACCACAGCCCTCGCCAACGCATGCATCATCGTCGCGGATCGTGGTGGTTGTGGAGGATTTGTCGAAAATACCACGCACTTTTCCGCAGTGTCGGAAGCAAGGCAAGCAAGACGACGACAAACCTCGCAGACCACAACAGGCAGCTCCCACTCACAAGCACCTCAACCTGCCTTCCCTGCATCACGCCCACAACGCCAACATGTTGATTATTGATGGCGAGGTGATCCCGGATGACGATCCTCGGGCAGTTGCCTTCCGCTCGGGCCAGGAGAGGCGGCGCCCGCGGCGCCAGCCAGCACAACAGCAGCCAGGCGAAGCAGGCGCAGGCAGCAGACGAGGGCAGCAAGCGGAGCGTGTGGTTCCGCGGCGAGGACAACCACCCGGCCCATTTGGGAACACGAGCGCAAACAATAGGTGCTCTGTTTTGTACAACAATGAACACGTACACACGCACACACATAAGAGTGCTTGAACTCTTCCCAGGGAAGACTGTGTGTGTGTGTGTTGTTACTGTTGCCTGTGCTGTTGGCCCGCGTCTTCAGCTAACGTTCGTGTGTGCCATATGTCCATGTGTTCATGTGTGCCTGCATGTCTGTGCATGAACAATGCATGCATGAAACAGACCAGCACCACCGCGACCTCGGAATGCAAACAACGCTGCGCTTCCGCAGTGGCTGCATCCAGACACGCCGCTTGGCAAGATCAACCAGCAGCTCACAGAATACTTTGACGTGAGTCTGCCGTCTGTGATCATGTTTGTCGACATTTAGCCTTGAGCCATCATCCATCCACACTTCATCACTCACACACTCGCTCACTGACACACACGCACTCACTCACTCACTCACTCACTCGCACACTCGCGCACTCACTCACGCACGCACGCGCACTCACTCACTCACTCACTCACTCACTCACTCACTCACTCACTCACTCACTCACTCACTCACTCACTCACTCACTCACTCACTCACTCACTCACTCACTCACTCACTCGCACTTACACTGTGCAGCCGGTGCAAATCGGATCGGTTGTGCTGCAGCCGATTATGATTGTCATTCTTGTGTCCTCGTACCTGATCATTGGACCAGGTGGCCTCATCATTGCCGCGCTGCTGCTGTACGCAACCCGCGCTTGAGATGCGCGAGCGCGCTGTTTCGCTCTTGCAGTATGTCTACTGTGCTGTTGTTATGTTACCCTTCACTGAAACCGTTCGCTTCACTTGAGCCCTCTCTGTTCCCTTTCATCTACTTGCCATCCTCTCGCAGGGCTGCATCACGTGGCCCGTGTGTATAAAGGACATCACACACGCACCATGGTCAACAAATGCAAAGAGCAAATGGATGAACACTGACAAGACAGTCAGACATGACACAAGCGCGCACACGCGGCAGTTGCGAATCATTGGAGCGCGCGGTTCAGAACATCCACAGACAAGGAAAAAAAAAAACTAAAAAAAGGCACAGGCAAAGCTGCTGCAGTCGCTGGGACTGTGCAGGTCAGAAGACAAGGTGTGAGCAAAACATGACACAGACAGAAGAACAAGACATCGACGACGAAACGTCACAAGAATAACATGTTTGTAATGTGTGTGTGTGTATGGGGTGGGGCAGTGTGTTATTACTGAGAACACAAAGCAAGGCGACAGACGACGCCACAGCAGCACCGCGACTCATCAAGCGAGGTCTGTCTGGAGGTACCAGAGGCGATCGTAGTCGCCGGCCGCGCACGCGCCGGACGAGCACGGCTGGCAGCACACCTGCAAGCAACGCGGAAAAGGGAGTGGAAGGTGGAGGGGCAGAGGGGTTAGAAGGGGGTGTCGTGTTACACGACAATAGACAAGTGTCAGTGATGGTTGTTGAGAACATATGTAGGCGAGGGTGCATGCAAGCAAAGTTGGCAAAGAGGCCTGTGGGAGCAAAGGGGGAAAATGAACAAAGATTGCAACTGTGCTGGGTTCAAACAACGTGTACATGAATGAATGCATGTACACGCACCTGCAACCACCAACTCCACCAAAACCACCAAAACCACCAAAGCCGACGAAACAACACGCACGCACCTCTGATTCACAGCAGACGTCTGGCAGTGACGAAAGAAGACTGCGCAGGCGAACAGGATCGGCGCCAGCGATGGCGGTGAAGTCCACCTCATCGTCACGGATCAACTCTGCAACGTCTGGCAAGTGCAAAAGTGCAAAGGCGGGCAACCAGATACACAGACGAACACGCACGTGCGCAACGAGAGGGCACACAAGCAGACGAAATCGTGAGTGGTGGTGCTGGTGCTTGTGCTGGTAGCGGTGATGTTGTGTTGCTGTGGGCTGCACGCACGCGGGGGCTGAACTGAAACACTGCAACACAAGTTTTCTCCAGTAACACACCACAAGTACACTGTAACACATAACTGCTTCAACAAGCCCGCAAGCCCGCAACACCGGCGCATGTGCTGTGTTGCAAATGCATTGGCACGCACCTGTTCCTTGGCAGTTGCCGACGGCATCGCAAATGTCAAACACGGTCGTCTGTCGCACACGCAGGTAGGGTTACATGGTCAAATCAAGGCAACAAGCGGGGTCTGTGCACAGCATCCACCAAGGGGGCAACAAAGTAACAAAGGCCAACAGGCACAGCAACGAAGAGAGGACTCGCAAGATTCGCAGGTGGTGCAGTGCCTGCAAGCAAGTGAACGTGCAAGGAAATGCGACGGAGCAAACCAGCAAGCAACCGCCACCGACAAACAAACGTTGACACAAGAAATGCCGTCATCGCTCACGTCATCCATGTCGTCGCAGTACTCGCCGGCCGCCTTGAGTGTGGAGGGGGAGCAGGCGCCCAGATTTGGGATGCAAACACCAGCGTTGTGACATGTGGACAGTGGCTCGCACACCACCCCAAGGCACTTTGATGTGCCCACACACACGCCCTGGCTGGTGCAGGTATCGTCTGGGAGAGCGAAGTGCAATCACGCACCGGTGAATGGAAACAGCACGTACAAATCAAAACGTAAGCGACGACCAAGCATGACAGCAGGCCCATCAAAGCCTACAGAAGAAACAATGGAATGGCACAGTGTCACAACATAGCCCAGCACAGTCACACCACGCACCACGCGCCACGCACACTCGCACAGCCCTGCTTCACGCACCACGTGTGGTGTCGTCGCCGTCGTCGCATGCCTGGCCGGTTTTGGGCACCTGGTCAAGGCACGTGCCCGTTCCAGAATCACAAATGGATGCTTGCAGGCACTGCGTTTCACTCGCGCATGTCACGCCGTCACACTTGTCTGGTGGAGGTAACGACAAGGAGGGGAAGAGGTCAGCGGGCGCAGGGAAGAAAGCAAGCAAACGAATGGGCAAACAAGCCAAACAAAACAACACAACGCAAATCAAATCTAACCAACACAACGCAAATCAAATCAAAACACCACACGCAAATCAAATCAACACAACACACCACAACACAACACAAATTAGCAAATAAGCAAGCAAAGTGTGCTGGGACTGTACCTGGCATGAATAGAGTGACAATCCCTTCGGAAACGCCCTGCCGTGCAAAGACAAACGGGAGCGCATCAGCGGCATCCGTCGTCACTCCGACAGCACCCGTGGACGTGACGGATGAGCCAACTTCCACTGTCACGTCAGCGCTTGTGGTGACCTGCTTTTGCCCACAACCGTACAGCAGCCAGACCAGCCATGTGTGAGTTGTTGAAATGCACATGCACAGAACAACAGAGACACCAAACGAGTGCCAGCTGACAGTGATCCGCATTTCCAAAACCAGCCACGGAGCCAGCAAGGAGGTGTAGGCAGGCGAAAGAGTGAAGATGGTTCACTGGCAAGACAGCAGTCAACCAAGACAACACAGTCGCAGTGCACGCACGTCCTGCCAATCTGTGACGGTGAGCGTAATCCTGCAGCGGCGCGAGACGCCGGACCCCGATGGCTGGAACGTGCCTGTGAACACACGAGCAGCGGGACCAAGACTCGACACGCTACCGGCCAGTGGGTGCCCATTGTCCAGTGTCAACCAGCCCGAGCTGCACATGCTGCCGCCGCCAGCCGTGATGACGGTGCCAGAGGCGTCGACGTGGTCGATGGTGAACGCATATGCGAGCGCCTCGTCGCTGGCAGAGACGTTGCTCACATCAAAGTCGAGGAAGCTGTTTGGGGTTTTGGCGCGTGCAGAAGGGACAAAATGGCAAAGTATCCGTGAGAAGAAGCAGAGACGATGACAAACAGTGGAAAAGCAACATATCAGGCATGAGGCGACAAAGTAAAGGACAGTGGTTCAAGGACATTGAAGATGGCGAGATGATAGTGGTGGGAAGGCGCTACAGAGGCGAGGGACAATCAGCGAGGAATACATGGTTACGTGCACCTGGTGGCCCACCTTGCAGTCAGCGTGATGGAGGTGCCAAACGTCACAGCGGACTGGTCAAACCCAAGACGCGTGATAACGGGCTCCTGGTTAAACGCGCCGTGGAAATTGCCTGCAAGCAGCGCGGTCTTGTCGCCAGTCACATGGGCACTGTAGCCCGTGTTTTGCTCCGTCTGTTGAGTGGCAAGATAGGTGGCGTGTGGTGTGAGCACGACAAACACAACTTCACAAGGCTGGGAAGTTGGAAGGAGACATGAATAACACCACAAGCAAAGCACACAACAAAGCACATAACGATGATGCACACGACACCGAACACTACAAGAGATACAGCACAACAAAGCATGACATCGCAACACAGTATTACAATCTGCGCGACACACAGAACGAACCGCTGTGACCGCGAAGATGATGGGCTCGTCGCTGCTGGGATATGTGGCGTCGCACGCATCTGACGTGGCGCTGCACTGCTGTGGCGTGAGTGGTGCCAGTGACGACGAGATGGCTTGCATCGCGTACTCAAATTCGTTGCCCAAGAACGACCGAGCAAGCACTGCATGTGGTGGTGGTCAGTTGACAATTTTGAGGCGCGTGAGCGTGAGCGTGAGCGTGAGCGTGAGCGTGAAAAGGGGGGGGGGGGTGTTGTGTGAGCAATATCACATCAGACATGGCAGCCTCACGCGCGAAGGACGGCGAACATCACAACATGGAAGTGTTCCGCACATGTACGTGTGTGTGTGTGTGTGTGTGTGTGTATGTGTGTGTGTGTGTGTGTGTGTTGGTGTGTTGGTGTGTGTTTGTGTATGTCTCGCCCACCTTCAGCACGGGCTTCAGAGGGTGACTCCGCGAGCGCAAATCTGGAAAAGAAGGGCACATGTGCAGATTGCCCATCCGTTGGTTCTGGTGTTGATGGAAACGGGCGAGCCGAGGAACAACAGGGAAAGAATGAGCACTTCGGAGCGAAGCAAAGCAAAGCAAGCAAGGTGGCGTGGAAGATCGTGATCGCTCCCGTGCCGTTACTGTGTATGCAAAGCAACCACAAGCCAAAGACGTTGATGCCCGCTGCTGCTGCTGTTTTCGTCTTGTGAGTGCAGGGAGGGCTCACCGAGGTTGGCAAGCACGGCTTCTTGAGACAGCGAGCTGCCTTCATACATGAACGATGTCTCGTACAACACCGCAGACGAGGAGTCCTGATTTGAGGTGGATGAAGGAAAACAGTTGGGGGGGGGGTTGTACGGAAGGGAGACCCAAGAAAGTGAGCATACGCAGAACACAAGCACATGGGTGCGGCGCGTGCGTATTTGACCGTGTGGTTGAATGTGTGCGTGTGCGTGTGTAGGTTGGGTGTTGAAGGATGGAATTGAGAAGTGCATGTGACAGGCACTGGCATATCCATACGCCAGAGGGTACGCACACACCACGCACGCACGCACAAACACACACGCATACAAAAGCACTCGCACGCACACGCACACACACACACACGCACGCACACACACGCCCAAGCACCCACGCGTCGTACACACACCATGCACTGAACCGTCGCTGTCACCGTCCCAGACAACACGTTCGTGAAGGACATCTGTCAGGTAAGAAGGCAGCGCAAAGGAGACCCGAATGCGTTGTTGTGATGTGAACAAGACTCAACGGACCCAAGGCACACTATGCACAAGAAGTACAAGTGCGCCCCCAGCAAGGTTGCATGCAGCAAAGGTCGTACTGCGCATTGTGATTGCTCACCTGCAATGCGTTTGACAAGAGCTGAGGGTTGAGGTTGAAAGCTGTGCTTGTGATGTCGTTTGCCATCTCAAAGCGGCATCGCGCAATCTAGCACGGTGGCAGTGAGAGGGATTGGTCGTGAGTGAGGAGTGGTGGAGGCGTATCATAACACAAGCATGCATCAGCTGCCCAATGCGATGAGCACAGTTGCTTGCAGGCAACACCACACGGTGCAGCAAAGCCCACACACACAAACAAGAACAAAACAGCAGAAAAACGAGTCTTCTCTTGTCTTCTGTGTGGCATAACTGGTCACTGAACGTAGGAACGCGCACGCACAACAAGACGAACCTGGAGAGCATCGTGTTGGGCATGCACTTGTGCCGTGCTAAGCACGACAACCCAACAAGCAAAGACAACAACAACACCCTTCCTCATCTTTGCAGGAGGTGTGTTTGTTTGTGTCGTGTTGTGTTGTTGTGTGATTGGTGCCCGAAAATTAGCAAAGCTTCCCGTGAAACTTCCACCGTGTGCCTGATCGTTCTGTGCGTGAGTTTGGTTTGCTTCTTTGCTGCAGCACTTTCCTCCCACTGTGTCTTCCTTCCACTTGTGTTCCTTCACGCCATCTCCCTCCTCCCCCCCCCCCAACACACACACGCATCCACACTGTGCCCTTCAGATCAGTTCGTTCATTTGGTGAAACCCCCGTGCAGGGAACAGCACACAGATCACACAAATCACACACACACACACATACACAAGCGTAGGAAGATGCGTAGTTCGACCATTCGGCTGAATGACAATACACACACAAAACCACACACACACGCGCGCGCGCGCACGCAAACAAAGCTTTTTGCTTTCTGGAAAGGCAAGACAAGGCGATCATAGGAGGGGGACAACACAGCACATCCACAACGCAACATATCCAACCACACCGAGCAGGGAAGCACAACGCTGGCTTGCTAGGCTGGCGCTGTAACCTGTTGTTTGTGCGCAGAGAACGGCAATGGCGAACCTCAGTAGCTGGAGGTGTTGTCTGTTGGGTCGTACTCTTCCTCATCAGCGGTGGTGGTGGTGGTGGTGGTGGTGGTGGTGGGGTTGAAGGGCCCACCACTGCGTGGAGGGCTGGTCACAACCAACGCATCCTCCTCCGTGTCCTCGTTCATCAGCAACGGTCCCTGTCATCATAATAAAGATGGGAAACGGTGGTGAGTTGTGGGCAGAAGTGAGCTATCGGCAAAAGGGCCTGAAAAGTCAGCAACATTGCGGTTTTGAAGATGCACACACACACACGCACACACACACACGCGCGCGCGCACACACACACACGCACACACACACGCGCACGCACACACCAATGGGTCTGGGATGTCGTCGGTGTCCTTCATGGCTGTGTCAAACCCAAGGCTCAGGTCAATCAGCTGGCCACCACCAGTGCCAGCAGCGTGGCGTGGCGTGCTGGACACAATGCCCTGATCACGGCCATCGTCATCGTCGTCGTTGTTGTTGTGGCTGTCGTGCACGTCAGCAAGTAGCTGCGACAGGGACGGGTTGCCCTTCTTGCTGTTGTCTGTGTCTTCTTTGCTCGTAAAAAAGGAGCTGCCAAACAGCCCGCCCGTCTTCTCCTTCTTCTGCTCCTCGTCTTGGGTGTCTGCTGTGCTCGCTGTGCTCGGCGCGCCAAAAGCCTTCCCCATTTTGTACTTGGACGGCACAAAGGGCGGCTTCTTGGCAGACTCTGGCGAAATCTTGATGGTCGCGCGCACCCTCGCATCGGCGGGCGTCGACGACGCTGTCGGCGTCTTGTCGCCGTCATCATCGTCGCCCTTGTTCTTGTCGCCAAGAATGCCCCTGTCCACCGCGCTCAAGGGCCCAGTGCTGGTGCCACTGGCGCGTGTTCCTTCCTCAGCCTCCGTCTTGCGGTTCAAGGAGAACTTGAAGCCATACCCGGTCGTGCCTGCAGGCTTGCTCGCTGTGGACGCCATGCTCGATCTGGTTTGGGCAGCTGTTGTGGTGGGGGCGGTTGTGGCAGTGGTGGAAGGCTCTGGCTTCTTTCCATAGAAGAACGTGGGCTTCTTGTACTCGGACTTGGTGGCGTTCTTGCCGCTGCTGTCTTCAAGGTCCCTCATCTTGGGGATGCCGCTGCTGAACTTGGGCACGGTGCCAAAGGGCTTCTTCGACTTGTCGCTGTCCTCCTCCTTCTTCCCGCCAAACACAATCTCGCTGCACACGGGCGCCTTGGTATTGGTAGTGGTGCCCTCCTCGCCCTTGCTTGCTGCCTTCTCATTCGATGCCTCCTTGGTCGTCGCCGTTGTTTCCGTTGTTTCCGCTGGCTTCTTCTCATCATCCTTCGACGACGAGGAAGAGCCACCCATTCCAAACAACATGCTTCCAAACGTGCTCACTACACCGGAGCTCGCCTTCTTGGTCGCTGGCTGCGCCGGTGTGGCTGTGGGCTTGCTTGTCGTGGCTGCTGTACGTGCCATTGCCGCTGCCGTTGGCCCCGCTGTTGTCTTTGTGGTTGCCGTCGTGGAGGACGAAGAAGAGGAGGAGGACGAAGAGAAAGGCTTGGTCGTGTCTGGCTTGCGCGTGAACGCGGGCTGCGATGTAAACTTGGTTGCAGCAAACGGAAACGGCTGCGTCTTGGACTCCGTGGCCGCTGCCCTTGCCGTATCGGTCATGGCAGTTGTACTGGTAGTCGTCGATGGCTTGGCTGAGGTTGTCCGCTTCTCGGCAACAGGTTCGTCATCCCCAAACGCCCTCTTCGCAGCCTTCAGTTCCTCCATCAGGTTCATACCGCTCTCGTCCTTGTCCTTGTCCACGCTGTCGTCCTGCGTCTTGCTCGCCTTGTCCGCGGCGCCGCTCGCCGTGGTTGCTGCTGCCTTTGTCCCAGTCTCCTTCGCTGTTGCCTTGGTCGTTGTCGTCATCGGCTTGGTTGTCGTGGCTGTCGATGGCTTGGATGGCGCACCGAATGTGCCAAGGGATCCAGCCTTGGTCCCTGGTGCCGCTGCATCTGCTGTCATCGCTGGCGTCGTCTCGCTGCCCGGCCGCGGGCGCGACCGGCGCGTCGTCACGCTCGACGGCAAAGTAGATGAAGCAGGGAAGGACGAGGGAGCAGAGGGGAAGGACGAGGGAGCAGAGGGGAATGCCGCCGGTGCAGGCTTCGTCGCTGCAGGTGCAGCCGGTGCAGTGGGTGCATCTTGTGCCTGGGTTGCGCTTGAGGTGCTGCGGCGCTGTGTTGTGGCGCGAGCAGAGGGGTCACGGCGGGCCGTGGTCCGCGTGTCGCCGCCATCGGGGTGCACGGGGATGGGCTCCACGCGCGCGTTCGGGTCATCTGGGAGCGAGCAATGCGATGGCAAGAAAGATGATGTGGGGGGGGGAGGGGGTTGATAGCGGTGGTGAGGAGGAGGGGGTGATCAAGAAGCAAAAATGCAGCACGTATACTCATGCAGGTTGTAAGCAGGGAGCTAGCACTGGTTGCACCAAAATATACTGCACATACCCCATACATTGTCAACAGCACCACCCACATCAGACCACAACACACCACAGTATGAACCACCACAACACAGTATTAACCACCACAACACAGTATGAACCACCACTAAATCCGGGATGCGCGTACAGACGAGCACTCACAGACGATGCCTCGGGCGGGGAGGCGGCTGAGGATGTAGGCAACGGCGGCAGCCAGGCGCCCGAAGACATTATGGGAGACGGTGCAGACGAGCGGCCAGTGGCGGTGCACGGCATACACACGCTCCACAAACGGCGCCCACACAACCGTGGACACTGCAAGGGGAGGGAAGGGGCAGCGGAGTGATGAAGGGAAGGAGTGTGAGGGAGGCATGTGCATGGTGAGAGAACACCAGTGTGGAGAGAAGAAGACGGAATAGACGGTAGAAGCGGTGATGAAGGTAGAGAGCACGGGGCAAGAGGACGTACCAAGGAAGAACAGGTAGGTGGTGTCGGAGAAGAGGGAGAATGCCCACGCGAGGAACAGCGACGACATCACCACCACAAAGGTGAACTGTTTGAGGCGTTTTGGTGCAAGGCAGAGGCAAACAATATGAGTGTGTCGGAAGGAGAGGAGGGACTCCGTGTGAGTGAGGAGAAGCAAGCAAGTGGGGGGGCACTTCGATGAGCACGTGATAGAATGCACTCACACACACACACACACACACACACACACACACACACATCACGGTGACTCACGGTGCCGAGGCGGTTGCGCTGGACGGATGCGACGTGTTGAATGGTGCCCTCCTTCCACTGCTGCGCGTGTGCAAGTAGACTGGCCAGCTCCTGCACAGACCGCAGTGGCAGTTGCCTGTGATGATGATATTTGTCCCAGGGTAGATGGGCAGGGAATATGTGAGCGGCTAAACCGAGTAAGAGAAATGAAGCTTCTGCTTGTAGCACAGGGACAGAGGGAGGGGAGAGAGGGGCGAGAGAGAGAGAGAGAGAGAGAGAGAGACAACACACACACATTTACACACAAGCACATATGTCTGGGCATGATCAGGTGAAGTGTGTGTGCGTGTGCGTGTGTACTTCAAAACTGACCATGGCTGGCGCTCGACGAGCGGGGAGATGGACTGGAGGCGCTGCACGGCCGTCTGCTGCGGAAGACGCGATGAGATGAACATCAGCATCATCTCGCTCAGCGCACCCGTCGTCGCCGCAAGCACAAGCTGCAGGCAGTGGGAAGGGCATTGGAGGGGGGAATACACAAAGGGTGGAGTGGTGGTGAGAAGAAGAAGAAGAAGAAGAAGAGGAAAAGTGTGGCTGTGGCGAGATGTATGGAGAGAAAGAGAGAAGGGGGGGGCAGAGGAGACAATGCACCGACACGTGAGACGGGTCGAGAAAGATGATACTGTGACATAGGATGGGGCCGCTGCTGTAGTACCTTTGTCATGATGGAGAAGTTTGTGAGGGTGAAGAGCGCCCAGACGGAATACCACGCCGACACATAGACCACCGATCTGTAGAGTGAGGGGGGGGGGGAGGAGGTGACGGGATAAAATGGTGAGAAGAAAGTCGGGTGGTGAAAAGAGATGTGAAAGGGTGTGATGTGATGAATCTCGCATACGATGCAAAACACACACACACACACACACAGAGAGAGAGAGAGAGAGAGAGAGAGAGAGAGCTGCCATGAAGCTTACAGGACGGGGCGGCGGAGGCAGGCGACCTCCTGCAGGAAGATGACGACATCCTTGCGGCGATCGAGGTACGCTTGCCACTACAAGCAATGGCCACACACACACACACACACACACACACACACACACACGCACACACACACACACACACACATATCACACACATCACAAGCATACATGTGCGTGAGAGGGAGAAGGATGTATGGTGGCAACAAACCACAAAACGAAGCGAAACAAGAGGAGGCAGATGTGTCAAGTGGCTCAATGGTGGTTGGTGCCTACCTCTGCGACGCGCTGCATGAACTGCATGTCCTCACTGCAAATGATGGGCGCACCGCAAGCACAGCAAACAGGTGAGATTGGAGGGGTGGTTATCGCGTGATTGCACACCCAAGGGCCAGAAATTGTGTCACGATTCGCATGACAACAAGCCAGCAGCAACCGTCAAAGAAACGGTGGGCACAGACATGCAATGGTCCCCGTGACAAGGGCGGGCGCCCGCGTGGTACCATCTTCTTACCCGGCCACTTGTTGTGTCATGGTGAGAGGCTGAGACTTGGCGGATCTTGGAACGAGAGAGTTGACGAGAGTTGAAGAGGGGGAAAGAGGCGAAGCCGCAATCAATCAATCAATCAATCGATCCAGACTGGGGTGGATGCCTGTGGCAAGGTCGACAAACGCGCCACCGAGATCGAGAGATGGATGTGCGAGTTTGGTGGGTGTGTGCGCGTGAGAGAGTGAGAGAGAAAGAACAAGAGATGTGCGTGAAGGAGAGGGAAGGGAAGGGTGATGAGAGAAGGGCGGATGCAAATGAAGCGGTCGAAGGAGGATATGGGCAAAGATGGTGTGCTGTGATGTGACATGGAAACCCCCACGGCAAGAAAAGACAAGAATGTGTCGGCGTGGAGGAGAAATACAAACAACGAGAGGCCCATTCGTTGCCTCCAAACCAGCCACACCGCACTCCACGGAAGCAGAAACACAAACAAACAAACCAACCAACCAAGCACAACCGCACGAGCAGCTGAACAACCGAACAACCAAAACACCAAGCACCCCGTTCCAGCTCAGCATGATCGACCCAATTGACGGGGTGTGTGGGGGGGGGAGGCGGGTGGCGGGCGGTAGGGATCCAGGTGGGGTGTTTGGGGTTGGATCCGTCACCACCGTCACCACCGACGCCACCCACCACCACCGACATCAACAACAACAAACACCAACACCAACAACCGAACGCCAGATAGGTTGCATGACACGACATGACATGGCATCAATCTGGTCGACAGCGACCAAACCAAGCACACCAAACCCACCTGATGGATGTTGGGGAGCGGCAATGGATGGATGAATGGCGAAAAGGATGCATCCAACAAACGAGCCACAGATCCGAGACTGTGGTGTCGCGCTGCTTGCTGGCTTGCTTGCTGGCTGGGTGGTGGTGATGCTTTCCAACGTGGACAATCACCGCGATGGGTGAAGGCGATGACGCAGCAAAAAGCAAAGAAGTTGTTGTCGGGTGGTTTGCTTGCTTGCTTGTTGACATCAACAAAAACTGTCGTGTCCCCACCCCAACAACAAACAAACAAACAAACGTGGGTGCTGCTCGCTGTCGTCTGCTTCTTTGCTTGCTTGGTGCGTGTGTGCTTCTTGGTGGACGCAGGTGCAACCGTTTCGTGGTCTTTGACCTTTTTTGGCCTGTGTGTGTGTGTGTGTGTGTGTGTGTGTGTGTGTGTGTGTGTGTGTGTGTGTGTGTGTGTGTGTGTGACGAAAATTTCGTTGCTGCTGACTCATCAATTACACATACATATTGTCAAGAATACAACCCTAACTTCAGGGTGAGCAAGAGCCAAACAAGACGCAAAAGAAGCGAGATGCTGCAGGAGACAGATCAGGAGGTTTGTTTGGTTTGGAGGAGGAGGGCAGTGCTGCACTGCTGTGTATGTGTGTATGTGTGTGTATGTGTGTGTATGTGTGTATGTGTGTATGTGTATGTGTGTGTGTGTGTGCGTGTGGTGTGTATGTGTGTGTGTGTGTGTGTGCGTGTGGTGTGTGCAGTGTATGTGTGTGTGTGTGTGTGCAGTGTATGTTTCTCTCTTCTTCTCTCCTTTTCTCCTTTTCTCCTTCTCTCCTTCTCTCCTTCTCTCCCCTGCCCCAGCCATCTCCTTCGTACCCAACCTCCCCTCACTGCACAATCCCCGTCCCTGGACGCCACAGGATAGCAGCCATGTTGCTGCGCCACAGGGCGACGATGTGCTCAACGTCAAGATCGCAGATGCACTCAACGAGCAGAACAAAGTCAAGTTCTACGTCCACACAACGGTGCGTGAATGTGTGTGTGTGTGTGTGTGTGTGTCTGTGTGTGTCTGTGTCTGTGTGTGCGTGCGTGTGTGTTCTCTCTCTCTCTCTCTCTCTCTCTCTCTCTCTCTCTCTCTCTCTCTCTCCCTCTCTGTCTGTGCACTCTTTGGTGTGCGATGCAATTTGCACCAACACCAACAACACAGCACCGTTGTGGAACATTGCAGAGCTCACCATGGATACTGATCCTGTCATGCACTGTGCTTGCATTTCTGGTTGCCTCCTGTTCCTGCCGGCTAGACGACCCTGCCGCGGTTCCAGAAGAAGGACATCCAAGTCGTTCGCGAACACGCCGAGTTTGTGTGGCTGCACGATCGCTTTGTCGAGTCTCCAACCTACGCTGGGCTGCTGGTGTGTTTCCGCTCGCGGTGTGTGTGTGTGTGTGTAATCTGTGGTCTGTGTCTGTGTCTGTGTCTGTGTCTCTACGTGTCTGTGTCTCTATGTGTCTGTGTCTCTATGTGTCTGTGTCTGTGTCTGTGTGTGATTCATGTGGCAAGAGTATTGAAGCCCTCACTCGAAACACGTGCATTGGCTTTGCAGATTCCACCGTGTCCTCCAAAGCCAGACTTCCAGCAGTCGCAGCAGAAGCTGGCCAAGCTGCAGGCGCACGACTCAAACATGACGCCCGAAGAAGTCGAGAAGCTCAAGCAGGAGATCCAGAGGTGTGTGCGCGTGTACGTGTGTGTGCATGTGCTTGTGTGCACTAGTGTGCGTGTGCGTGTGCTTGTGTGCACCAGTGTGCGTGAAGTGAATCTGTTTGAGCATGCACCGTATGGCGCATGTTGCGTTGGTTCTCACCTGCACACACTGGCTTTTTCACGTTGCCTACCCTCAAATTCCCTGGCTCACCATGCAAACGCCACGCCGCTCCCCATGTACACTTTTTGCGTTGCATGGCAGCGAGTATCTGGCGGCCTTCCAGAAGACGGTGGCCATGCACGAGGTGTTTCTCAAGCGCCTCGTATCCCACCCCAAGTTCAGGGACGACCACACCCTCCAAGTCTTCCTCGAGTACGAGCAGGACGTGAGTCGAAACAGCCGCTCTACGTGTGTATATGTGTGTATGTGTGTGTGTGTGTATGTGTGTATGTGCGTGCAACAGTGTGTGTGCGTGTGCGTATGTGTGCAACAGTGTGTGTGTGTGTATGTGTGTACGTGTGTGTAAGTGTTGTGGACAGGCTGTACACTTGGTCCGTGGTTATTGCTGGCTGTATGTGGTGGTGGCAATGACATGTCACACATACGCACCACACTACAACGCTGCCAGCTGGACTGCAAGCTCAAGTCGACGCGCGAGAAAGCGCTTGATTTCCTGCGCAGCAAAGCAAAGACATTTGACTCGTCCTTTTCCTCCTTCAAGGTTTGTGGCCCTTGCAGTCACACGCACACAAGGATGCGCACACGTGGCACACACACACACACACACACATGCACGCATATACACATGGCGCACGCACACACACACACGCATGTACACATGGCGCACACACACACACACATGGTACACGCCAGACACAGTCGCTGATTTTCACACATTGCGCTGCTGGCTGTTTGGTGGCAGGATGCCGACGAGTTTTTTGACGATCAGCGCTCCTTCATCACCCGCTATCTTCTCGCGTGAGTCCACACGCTGCACATACACACACGCTGCACATACACACACACTCGCTCACACTCACTCTCACTCACACACACACATTCACACACACGCATACACCTGTTGTGTATTGCGCTCACGCGTGCGCTTGGTGTTTCGCTGGTGATGCTTCCAGGATAAAGGAGGCTCGCAGCAAGGCTGCGCAGAAGGTAACGCTGTCGACCCACACCCATGTTGTTGCTGTCGCTCCTGCTAAGATATGCAGCAGCGCAACGTGTCGCTTGTCCAATACACACACGCGCGCGCACACGCGCGCACACACGCACGCACACACACACACGCACACGCACACGTCAACACAGCACACTCTATGCCTCGCCTCCTCGACCCCTCTCACACAACTCCCAACACCACCACCGCCACTGCCACGTGCCCACCCCTGAAAACACGTGCACTAGACGGAGAAGAGGATGCAGCTCTCTGTGTCGTTCAACCGCGCAGGCACAGAGCTTGTGCACTACGGAAACCTCTACGACACAGACCACCCCGTTGGCGAACGTGCGTGCACATGGCGTGGAACTGATAGTGCATGATGTGTGATGGTGCATGCCAGTGTGATCGTGGGTGTGGTCGATTGGTGCTATGGTGCTATGTGTGTGGTGAGTGGTTGTTGTTACTAACTTCCGCCACTTGAACGGATGAACACGTGTTTACGTTGTCTGCTGCACGTGTGTGTGTGTGTGTTTGTGTGCGAGCAGTGATTCGCCTTGTGGGCAACGTGCTGCGCAAGTGCCAGACGATTGAGAAGCGCCTCGCCACCAAGGAGGACCTCAAACTCACTGTACGTCGCGTCGCGCCCAAACTCGCCATGTGCTTGATTTGCTTCGCATGTGCTTGCTTCGCATGTGCTTGCTTTGCGCGTGTGCATGCGTGAGTGGCCAACTCACTGTGCGTGTGCATGCTTTGTCAGGATTTGCTGCGCTACTACGAAGCGGACGCCAACGCCGCCAAGGACCTCATGGTCCGGCGTATCAAGGTGTGCAAGCAACCCGCAGAGGGAAAGCCGAGGGTGTTGGGTTGTGTTCCAAGTGGGCAGATGAGGTTGCAGGCGATCAAGAAGAGGGTGTAAGCGAGTGAGCGAGGGAGATGGTGATACAGCCACAGGGAGTGTGCGTGAGAATATACTCGCACAGATACACTTGTAGATGCAGGCGGACACACCACATCAAGTCCGTCAGCACACGCCATCGACTCATGACCCGTGTGCATGTGCGTGTGCAGTGTCTGCAAGACAAGGAGCGTGCGGACAAGGCGCTTGTCAAGGCGCAGCAGACACAGAAGAAGGTGGACGAGTGTCAGCAGGCGGCAACAGAGGCCGAGGAGCGCTCCATCAGCATCACAGACACCGCCCGTGACGGTATGTACACCCTGCTGCTGCTGCTGCTGCTGCTGCGTGGGCATGACTTGCTCCACCTCCTTGTTTGTTTCTGACTCTTATTGGGATGCAGTGTTGCGTGTTGCTCACCGACCACCGCGACCACCACCTCACCATCACCATCACCACCGCCATCGCCATCATGGCTACGATCGCCACCAACTCAGAGCTGGGTGCGTTCCAGCGCCGGCGGGTGGCCGCGTTCCGCAAGGGCATCATGCAGTACACCCAATATCAGATCCGCCAGGCACGCGAGAAGCAGCATGTCTGGCGCCAAGTCATTGACGCGTTAGAACAGTGACCATACACACACGCACACGCGCGCGCGCACACATGCTTGACTGTTGTTATGCGCTCTCCCTCCCCCTCCTGTCTTCCACCTATCCTCCCGACCACTCCGTTCGTTCCCCGCACACATGTCTTGCCTTGCCTTGCTTGTGTTCACACGTGACGACATGACACACGATTGAACTGTTTGCGTTTCCATTGTCAGTCCTCCCAAGCACGAAAACAACAAAGCAGTCCAGTGCCGATATGAGGGTGTGTGTGGTGGGTGGTGGGTCGTATGTTGGGCGGCAGACTGTGAAGCTGCTGAGCCCCATTGTAGAGCATGTGAGGGCACTCGATGTGGCCTTTCGTGTCAACCACCAGTATGGTGAGTGACGCGTGCGGGCCGCTGTGCCGTGTGCTGATGCTGCGATGCTGCGTTGGGCGTGCACTGCCAAGGCTGATGCATACACACACACACACACACTCACTCACACTCACACGCACTCACACTCACACACACACTCACACACACACGCACTCACACACACACACTCTCTCTCACTCACACACGCACTCACACACACACACACACACACTCACACACACACGCACTCACACACACACACACATCACGCTGTGCTGTCACTGTGGTTGCAGGGAACGAGGAGCGGGTCATCGTCGACATCACAGAGTACCGTCGCGTACGTGATGCGCTCAAGGTACGAGCTCAAGTGCAAGCGTGTGTATGTAGGTTCAGCGGGGATGGCTGACGTGTGGGCACATTCATCTCACCGTGCACACTGCTTCACCCCGCTGCACATGGCAGGATGCCGACGTGTGTGTGCACGTGGCCTCATACGGCATGTCTGGTGCGGAGCAGCTGAACAAGGCCCGAGTGCACGCCGTCAACGTCAATGGCACCAGCAACGTACGTAGGCAAGGAACAGTTGGATGCGTGCTGGTGCTCCGGTAGCGCTTCAATGTCGCGTGTGCAGAGGACACGCACACGGACATGGGCATGGGCATGAACATGGACACCTCTCTCTTTGTATCTTAAGCGGTGGTACACTCATTCATTGTTCTCGCCAACACGTACGCACACATCAGGTGATCAAAGCGTGCCGCGAGTGCAACGTGCGCGCTCTTGTGTACATCTCCACGTACAACGTCGTCTTCAACGGAACGGTGCGTGCTTGTGTATGTTGCGTATGGTGTGCGTTGTGTGTGTGTGTTGTGTATGTGCGTGTGTGTGTGAATGAACAGGGTGTCCTCCATGCTCTTGTCGCTGCATGCTTCTCAAATGCTCACATCCCTGTGGACATCCCGCTTCCCCCCGTACACACCACAGCCCTTTGAAGAAGGCGACGAAGAAGCTCTTGACTACATCCCAGATGACCAGCACACCGACGAATACAGCCGGTAAGCTGTGCAGCACACAAACATCATACACACACGCATGCGTGGCCTGTTGCTCACCCCCCCCCCCTTCCACCTCCCAAACCATGCCTGCCCCGTCGTCGTCACCAGGACAAAAGGGCAGGCAGAGCGACTGGTGCTTGCTGCCAACTGCGACACGCTGCGCACGTGCGCCCTCCGCCCCGCCGCCATCTACGGCGACGGCGAGTACCGCCACCTCCCGCGCATCATCCGCCTCGTCAACAAAGGTGCCGTTGTGTGTGTGTGTGTGTGTGTGTGTGTGTGTGTGTGTGTGTGTGTGTCTGTGTCTGTGTCTGTGTCTGTGTCTGTGTCTGTGTCTGTGTCTGTGTCTGTCTGTATGTGTGTGTGTGTGTGTGTGTTTGTGTGTGTGTGTGTGTCTGTGTCTGTGTGTGTGTCTGTGTGTCTGTGTGTGTGTCTGTGTGTGTTTGTGTGTGTGTGTGTTTGTGTGTTGTGTGTCTGTGTCTGTTCACTTGTCTATGTGCATCCGTGCTGGCCTGCTTCCCTTCCCCCCTTACCACAACTTGTCCATTCCAACAACCTTTTCGTTGCCCCTCCGCCCCACCTCTCAATGCATGGAGTGCAGGCCTTGGGTTCATGGCGATTGGGCGGCGGGATGTGCTGTGTGACTGGGTCTACGGCGAAAACCTCGCCCACGCCATCGCCCTCGCAGTGCAGCGGCTCACAGCCGACGACAGCGCTCCTACTGGTCGGTGGTGTGTGTGCGTGTTGTTGTGGATGTTTTCGTGGACCCACGCGACTCACTTGTATTCACGAATACATTCACACACATGTACATACATGCACACACGCAGTGTCTGGGCGAGCGCTGTTCATATCAGACCAGCAGCCGGTGAACAACTTCACGTTCCTGGCCACCATCCTCGGTGACACCTCCCTGTTCAGCGTGTACGTCCCAACACCAGCCATGCTGGCGCTGGCGCACGTGATTGAGCGCGCACACGCCATCATCGCCCCCATCGTTCCGTTCGAGCCGTTCTTGACGGTGGCGGAGGTGTGCAAGGTCGGCGTCACTCATTATGCCAGCCCGCGCCTTGCACGGCATGCCCTCGGCTACACCCCACGCGTCACACAGGACGAGGCAATACAGCGCACACGCGCGTGGTGTGAGCAGCAGGTTGCGCCTGCGTGGCAGCGCTCTCTTGTGCTTCGCGGCACCATCGCTGCTGCGGTCGGTTACATCGCCTTCGCTCTTGCCCGCAGGTCGTGGCGAGCCTGCTTATAGCAGCTTGTGTGTGTGTGTGTGTGTGTGTGTGTGTGTGTGTGTGTGTGTGTGTGTGTGTGTGTCTGTCGATACGCTGTCTTGTATTGTTGCACGCGCTACTCCCCCCCCCCCCTCTCATGCACTCCCATCGTTACAACAATGCCCTTTTTGACACAAGTAGACATGTTAACTACTGAAGATGAAAAGAAGGTTTGTTTAACGGGTGGAGGGCTTGGGTGGCTGTTGTGGAGAGGTAATGTGACACGTGACGCATTATCAGTGCATTGCGATCAGCTTGCACACATTCTTATGACGAACACACACACACACACACACACACACACACACACACACACACACACACAATACGCACAGCTTGCGCAGTCGTCACACATGCAGGCATGTGCCGACACGTGAGCGGTGCGTATGTGTGTGCGCATGCGAACGGTGGCTGTGCCCGTCTTCACTTGGCGACGGTGTCGTTTGCGAGCGCAGGAAGAATCTCGCAGTAGATGTCGATGCCACGGAGATAGATGTCCTCATGCAGGAACTCGTTGTGGTCGTGCAGCAGCACGGGTGTGTTGTTCATTGGCGAGAATCCAATGGCAGGGACGCCCGTCGCCCGGATGTAGCGGCTGGTTTGGTCGTTGTGCGGAGGCAGGTGTTTTAAGATGCAAGTGTGTGTGTGTGTGTGTGTGTGTGTGTGTGTGTGTGTGTGTGTGTGTGTGTGTGTGTGTGTGTGTGTGTGTGTGTGTGTGTATAGCATAAATGAGTGTTGTATAGATATCGCGAAATATAGACACACACTCGCTCACCACACCCAAACACGTTCTTTTTGTAGAACAGAGAAAAGAGTGTGTGCACGCGAGAGTGTGTGA